TCACGTGGATCACGCGAAGACGCGACGACACTGAAAGAAGACACGGTTTTTGAAAACCAGTCCTCTCCCTTTGTCGAAGAATAGTTGGACACGATCGAACCGGTACTGGACGAACTGGTCAGAGAACGAATTCTTCCAGCATCCTGGTGGACCAGTCGTGGACCGGTCTTTGGCCAGCAAAAAGGAGAAAAAGAGATAGGTGATATTCGGTTGTAAACTGGACATTACGCGAGATGACCAACCGGTCCGGCAGATGTTGGTCCAGCTGCAGTAGCCCGATTATCGAGTTTTTTTAGAGAAAGAATGCTATAGTTGGGAGGGTTGAATCTTGTGGATTCTTTATATTAGTCAGTTAGATTATTTTCATTTTGTAACTTGTAGCATTTTTATTATTTAATTTGTGGAAAAGAGTGGAATATTGGACGAGAAAACTGCGTTGTTAATAAAGCAAGAAAGAAAACATTTTTGTTGATCTTTCATGTTTTTACACATGTTAATATATTGCAAATGATGCTTCATATGTATCATATTTTATTGTCTTTTATTTACATCTTATATTTTTATAATTATTCTTCAAAGCTGAGATATCATTAAATTAATAAATTTATTCAAAAAGTTTATATGTACGTTTGAGCTCAATATTTAAAAACTTATTTATAGTTTTTAAATAAATGCAGGCAAAGACTTTTTTCTATATTAATAACTAAAGAATTGCACTTTTGAGTTATGTCATTATTGCACTGAATGAGTAATATGTATAAAATATGTCTTGTATAAAGTTTTTGTAAAGACTCGAAATTATTATACTGGCTTTTTAAAAATTATATTATTTCATGAACAAAATCATTTTTATAATTTGATATTTAATTGGATAACTCTTGAAATATGTTGCAACAATAGGCAAACAAAAGTTGCTTCTTAACTTCAAGAAAAATAATTAAGCAGTAAAAAATTATTGATATGCAAAGGTTGAAAGTGAGTAAATATTTCTTGTTTTCAAAAATCTTTATTGAATTTTTCTTCTTTGGTACAGTTGTTCCAACTTCGTCTGATATTCTGTTACTTTTATTGATTAATATTTGCCGAAACGTTATCGAAAATTCATGTTTCGTAAAATATTAGAAAGCAAACCAAAACAAGTGCGGTTAATTTGTGCAGATTGTGCGTGTATAACGAATATTACAAAAATATCTGGAAATAGCGATATATCGATAATATAAAAGGTGTTGAAACGAAAGCAAAAGATTGTTGCACAAATAATTAGCTGCGCGTATGATCGGAAATAAATATTAATTTTTAATCAAATAATTTCTGTACAATGATACGGGTTTAACGCATACGCCGCAAAATTTCACGTTTATTCGCAGCCACGAAATATTTTACCTTCCACTGAGGAGAACGACACGCTCATTAATGCTATTGAGTTTGTTTGAATGAACGAGATATTCGCGCTTCATAAAATTATTAAAACCGTCCCATCAATTAAAGCATTAATTTCCCTTTCGTTGACACAGCCACTTTTAATTATTTCCACTTTCATTCAATTGCCTCCCGCATCAAATTATCGAAAATAACAGCTCAGCGAATAATTTACATTCTTACCTTCAATTTTCCGATAGATTCACGCGGTATTAATATTCCGCTATATATTAATATCTACATCAAACAATTATTTAATAACAGTAATTATTTTATTAATAACGGCCGGATTTAATTCCCTCTTCTTTTTCACCGATTATTGTAACCTTGGCCGTGAAATTTCATTTCCACGTTTAAATGAAATTATTTTTGGATAATTGATTCTTTATCGACGAGTACCAATTTTAACTGACGGGCACGTGCATTGACAAAAACACCGTTTCGAATACTTGTTCCGACCGTCAAATGTAACAAATGATTTTTTTTAACAAAAATTATATTAACCAACGGAGTCCACGTTTCACATTTCACAAGTTACAAAATGGAATTACATAATTTCGCAACTTTCTTCACATTTACGATAAAAATCAAAATTTCTTCAATCATACATGACAAAATTAAAATTATTCCAAAGTACAATATATTTCAATCTTAAGCATCCAATAGAAAACTATATCGATATTCGAAATTGGAAATTAACATTGGATCATAGTCGAACGTCGGCACAAAGCGAATTGCGCACAGTGGTTTACAGAAATGTGGCGAATAGTCTGCGCATGAATAAAGTATGGCCGCGTGTCGCGGTGTCGTTTAAACTCGGTGGAAGTTGTTTAAAACCGTGGGTCCGCTGATTAGCGCGAAAAGGTCGGGCAGCAAAGGGCCGCTTAGTAAACAATTAGTCGGCCAGGTAGCCGGGCAATAGGCGGCCGGTTGCATGCTAATAGGGCCGCGATAAAGAATGAAACTCGCCGTGGGGGGAGGTATAATCCGGCGGAATGAACTCGGTAAATAAATAATTAAATAATTAGCGGGGCCGCATGCCGGAATTGTCGACGACTCCGCGCGTTTTCTCGGTTGCTCGCCGCTTAAGAGTCGCCGCCTCTGAAGAAAAGGAGAGAAAAACGAACTGGCGGCTGCGGGGGTGGCGGTCGCGAAACTTTTGACCGGCCGGCTATCCCTCCTGCGAACCGTGAGCCGAGACACTGCTTTTTCGACGTCTTCGTGGCGTGAATTTCTCGCGAAGGGTTAAAAATACCGAGCTCCTCCACCGCCGTGACTCTCAACCCTTCATTTCCAGAAGAGAGAATGCTAATCTTTCGTTTCGAGACGAATTGATTCTTGCGAATAATCTTTTCGAGTTGTCTTTTTTGACGACACGATGATGAAAAAATGATTGTGTGAATCGATCTATGGATATTTTGATATTTGTTTTTCTGTTCTTTCGTTTGAATGAGTTAAAGTGATGATTGAATGATTTTTTGAATATGATTCTAAGAGAGAATGAGAACGATGCATGGTGTACTTTTGGTGTGGTTTGTTATGAGAATTCTTTGAATTTTGATCGTGGTTCATTTCATATCCAATTGTTTGGAATTGAATTGTAATACTGTGATTTGTAACATTAAGATTTCATTGTTCTCTTTTCTTGAAATTTCTTTCTTTTTAGTTATCGAATTCCTCTTTTTTTTTTAGAATTGTAAATTAAATATATGATTAAATATATTATTAGATATATTGCAATACAATATCTCCAATTATATTAATTTTCTCGATCAAATCAAAAGTTCAACGATATCTTCATTATGTTTCTAGATTACATAATTATATCACTTTTGCATTTTACATTCTAAAAATATATATATCGTTTCATTCTTTTTCTTATCTTCATCTTATCGCATCGTACGAGCTTTCCAAATAATGAATTCGATATTGTAGATCGAAGGTATCCGCACAAGTCGAAGGAGACATATTGTGAAACGGGAGAGAAATTTTGAGAACCACCTGCAGTTAGTCGGCGAAGTGGCAGAGTGTCGGAGCAGCGCGAGGAGAGCATTATAAACTCTTCTTGGCCGTGTTTCTGCCGTTTCTACTTTACCGCTTTCTACCCTGCCGTGCGAGAAACTAAAATGAAAAAGAAGTGGTTGTATGTGTGGGTGATATACACGTGCCAGCGGCGTTTTATCGCGCGGTTTATGTTGCACACTCGCCACCCCCTAAAGCCGACATTTGCCTGCAGCGGCAGGAGTAAGAATGCTAATTGGAAAGCCGGGGCCATTTCTTCTTTCGTCTTGCCTAGGGAAAGATATTTCCTTCTGCCGACCTTTTTACACCGGAAATTTATAGCGCGCGCCTTTTCAAATCCTGCCAGAGATGAATTTCGATGCTTCCAACTGTAAACTCCTTCGCCGTGTTTAGAATTTTAATTGGGATCGTTTTTTAACTTTAGATTATGCAAAATGGATTACTTTTTGCAACGTGTTTGCGTTGTCGAATTTCTAGCTTTTTCGCACTCTCTTTTTATTTGCGTTTCGATTGAAATTTTTAACATGCTTGTTTTTGTTCCCTCACCGTTGTTCCAAAAATTTGAGTTGGTAATTTTGTTTGTTAGTTAGTTGGAGTTTGATTTCTTATTGAATATTTTGTGAAGTATTTTTCATAAAATCGAATAGATTCGAAACATGTTATCGTCAATTATTTTTCTATATTTTCATTCTTAATTGTTACTTAATGAATTATTTATTGGTCAATAAATTTTCAATGTGAACGTGCTTCTCCCAAAAATTCATCCTCAGTGAATCAATCCTTCTTATCTTCATCTAAAATAACAAGATTTCATAATTTTGATTGATCGTTCGATTGAAAATTTTGATATCGAATATGGATATTTGTATTAAAAAATTTATATCGCTCTCTACGTAGTTCCTTTTTTGTTTGAGCTGCGAATAAATTCCAATCTATTCAAACGAATGCTTTCAAAAATTTATCCTCCAAAGTGTCGGTTTTGTTGCGAAAAACTTGGAAAAATTTAATGGAGAAGACCGCGGATGTGGTAATTTCGAGATGGCTCTGTTCCACGAAAGAAACTTTGTCAGGGATTGTACCGGAGCCAGTTTATGAAACGGAAAAAGTTCTGACCGTCAAAAGAACTTTGAACTTTGGACGACTCTGGACATAGGGGACGGGAGAAAGGAGGAGTATGCGATGCACATGGGAGCTTAAAGGGTTTATTATAGGTGGTGTCGGAAGTTAAGGTTGCAACACAGGGGCGTGGCAATACTGAAAGTAGCACAACCACATTTATGTAATGGCGTTGCGTCAAATAAAATTTTTCTCCTTCCAATAAATATCGTCATGAATTTTGCGAAAGGTTTTTACATGTTGTTATCTTTTATTGTTTCGAAATAAAAATTTCAAATGTTTTCTGAAATTCTTCTGTATATTATTTTATAACTCGGATCGTGTTTTGTAGTTTAGAATAATTTTATTTCATTTCGTCGTTCCAATAATTGGTAATGCTCGATATAGAAAATCGTTTGTTAAGATTTTTCGTTAATTTTTGTTCGAGGATAAATTTATTTTTCGTAATTTTTCTTATTTTTTTATAAAAACTGCAACGATGTAACACGTGTCTCTTTCAATCTTTTTGAATTTTATCATTTTCCAGTTTTATCCACAATTTAAAAGCTTTTGCTCCCCTTTCTATTTACTTGCATATCTTCTCTATTTTTCTTTTTTGAATTTTGTACGAGGTTTTACGCTGACGAGACACGAGATATATTATTTTCTTTCTATTACAATTCAGTTTTTTCTTTTTTTTTTTTAAACTAAAATATTTTTCCTATTAAAATGGAAGACAAATTTTGTCATCACTTCTTTTCTTTCTTACATTTCTCCTTCGTATTCTTAGCTCGATCGAAACATTTTCAAAAGCAGATAACATCGACGATGAATATCCAGTGGAACGCGAATTATCTTATTTTACTCGTCACTATAATTTCCGTATCCCTTAAAGAAAATCTTCTTTCCATTATCGAAACTGAAGAAACGTTTTATCGTCCCTCCTCTTAACGCTCTTATCTCTCTTTACAGATCCATCTTCTTGACCTGACAAAATTTTTTCAAGAGGATAATATCGACAAAGAATGCTCCTCGTCCCGTGTTAAGGTAGGACGTGTCTGGCCAGGTCGTCGTGGATAATTTTCGGAAGGGTTGGGCCGCAGAAAACGCTTGAAGTGGCTCCCACTTTTGCGCGGGTTTATGCTTTCCGGTTCCTCCGTCGCTATTATCCGGCCTCCTCTGTTCTCCGCTCGCGTTGTGCCTGAAACAATAAAACACGTTCATGAATGAAACCCTTCTCTGCACCCTCCCTCGCCCCTTCTGACACCCGCCTACAATTCCACACCCTCGCCGGCCTTCAGGAGTAGACTACCACCCTCTTTTAACGCGCTTTATCATCCTCCTTCCATTCATTCGTAGCTTCAGGTAATAAACTTGGGGTACGCCAAGGGAAGAACGGCGGAAGATCTTCGCTCGGTCACTTCGCCACGCGTGCAAGCGTACCAGGAAGCGTTGCTTCCTCGTTTATTTTTAAAAACGGAAGGGTGGATGTATCGTTATAATTACCGTGGGGAGTTCCTGTTTCGAAGGTCAGCCGTGATTTTCAAGGGCGAGCCCGTGAAACGGTTCGTAGGGGGAAAAGGGAGACGTTAATTCAGGGATTTGCATTTCGTGTGATTTCGAAGTAGTCGAAGAATGTGGAGGTGAATTTTTCGTAATATAATTTTTATAATTTGATCATGCCTATATCTTTAAGATGAGTGATCTTTTTTAAGTTCCTTCGGTGAGTTCCTTTTAAAAATTAAATATTTTATCTAATAAAGAGAATAATGAAAGTAAATATATTCGATCGATCATTAAGAAAATAAAAGTAATTTTTAAAACGATCTTGAAAATCTTCTGAAGAAGATATATAGGGGAAAAAATCAAATATCATGTTCGTGGTTCAATTTTATAATAATAATGTTAGCTACGTAGATGACCGGTATAACGCGGTTATTTGCTAGTTGCTTACGTGTGGTTACATCATGTTGTTTTGTTGTTATTTTGCCAAGCATTTTCCTATGTTTTCTTGTTCTACTTGCCGCTTCCTATAATAAACTCCTAGATGTAACGCAAACGGGAGCGTGAAGAAGTCTCTTGCTTGATTTTTTATGCACATGAACGCCCGATCAAAGCTTACATAATCTGTTATTTATAACGAAGGCTGACTACCTAGGATAAATAGAATGCCCGATCTAAAGGTCACTTTAGACCTTCTCCTTTCTCCTGTACACCATGGAACCGTGAGACGCTATCTAGCCTGTTTGGAGTATCTCTTTATTCTCTTGTGATAACATCGAATTAAAAATAGAAAATTTTCAAAGAAACATTCAATCGTGAAATTATTGCATTCATCTATCTACATGCAAATGAGTTCAAATGAGCAAAAAGAGTTTAGTTAATGTGAAAAGTCGTCCAGAAATTTGTTCGTAATCTCGTTTGTAACGAGGACTCGTGAAAATGACGAAGAAATTACAATCAGATTTCCGATTTATCATCACCACAAATCGCGAAAGGATGTTTAAACTTTAATATCCGTATCGAATTGGACAAAGAAGGAACATTCGAAAAAGCAAGAGAAGCGAAGGAGAAAGATAATCTTTCTCGATTCAAATTAAAATCGTATAAAAAGGAGTGGTCTCTCGGAGGAAACGTGTAAATGCATTTAATTGTTAAGTCAGTCTCGAGACGGGACGAGAGACCGAGGGCAAGTGAAATGGATCGGAGAAAGATGGAGAATACATGCAGACAGATAGAAGAGACAGACTGAGAAGGCTCCTCATTCGTAGCACAGAGCTAGAGATCGCAGTGGGCATCCATTGGCCGGAACTATGGGGTGGGTTGGCAGCGCTATGGGCTACTATCGGCTCCTTGGGGATGTTTCCACCCCTATTTCTACCAACTACCCCCCTTACAGTGTACACCGAATACACTGGTATAGTTATACAGACTCGTACATGCCGGGCTGTTGGGGTATTGATCGTCGTTGGCTCCAGAACACCACGTTCTACCTACTTCTCCTTCACCTGCAATAGCACGTCCTTACACATCCTTGCCGCTCCTTCTATGACCGGAGGTGCATCCCCCTTGGTCCACGTCTGATTTCTATCTCGTTGCTGGCCACGGAGTTCGGGCTGAACTCGGTATCGGGATTGGTTGAGGGATGATGCTGGTATATTCTCGTTATCACGAAAGACTTTTTCGTCGAAGTGAAGTAAAAGTTGATCATCCGTTCGAAATTTTCTTTATGATATATTTTTTTATAATTGCACTTTTTATACAGATACATATTGTATTTAATAAAAGAAGCTCGTTGTCTTTTTTTATTAAGATGACGAATTTAAAATATGTAAATTGATGTAAATTGAAGAGTTTTCTTTAAATACATCTTAATTATATGTAGATGATATACAAGGGGATGATAGAATAATAATGATAATTGTGATACAAATATATCACGTGTGAAACACATGGAATTTTAAAAATAATTTACCATCAGAAAAAAATTTTTAATTGGTTCGTCAAAGTAGACGAATATTTAAAAAAGAAACTTATTTCCTAGGATCGATATCACATTTTATAAATTAGATATTTATTTAATTGCGATTTCAAACTTTATACGTATCTGATAACAAAAGATTCATTAAATTCTCGTAGACTTATCTGCGGTGAATACCTGTGGAATACCGAAAAACTGGAAAGAGACCGAGCCACGAAGGGGAAAGAGAGAGAATCCAATGGAGAAACGGAGGGCGCGAAAACCTCTGGTAATCGAAGACTCTTATCTTTATTGCTGAAATTCCACGTATCTTTGGGAGCGAAAGGACCGATGGAAATGAGGACATTCCGTTCCCCGGCCGGATTGGGTTTCGACGATTAAGGATCCTTCTAATCCTTCCAACCTGACATTGTATTCCGCTACCACTATTCCTCCACTTTTCCTCTCTCACTCTGCCCCGTCCGCGATCTTTCTTCACCCGTTCGTGCACATGAGAAAGTTGCTTACATTCGCAAATAAATTCAAATATGCGGTCGACACTGACGAGTTGCGAAACTATTTCGAGCTGTTCTTCGTATATCCAAGCGTAACTGAAGTTAATGTTTTTGTTAAATTACAGACGTATTATTAACGTATATAAACTTGGAATCGTTATTGGAATTGTAATCGACACCGCTATTTCAGAGTTTGAAAATGTTTTGAAAACGATTAATATGTATTTTTCTTGATTTATTATGCAATTTCGAACGAATGATAGATACAAATATATATAAAATTTTATATTGCTGGAAGTATAATATTAATATATAATTTTTTGACACTTTCAATATTTTTCTTTCTTTAAATTGTTATCTTTCGTGTACTTTTATTTAGAGATCAATTTGTACGACTAACGGAGGGAAATTCATTTTAATCATAAAAACTTTTAAAGAATAAATAAATGATAAATGATCAGATAATTATAAATGAAATGCATGTAAAGTTTTAAAAACTAAGTATATATTTTTCAAATTTTGAATGTATTTTACTTATAATTGGCTGATAGTTTAATATATAATATAAACTTATTAATGTATTAAATTTTGTTTTAGTTTAAAAGCAATTTAATCATTGTTAAAAAGTTATAAAAATATTGTATCCAAAGAATACATCCATTACATTCAAAGAATAGATTCGTGGAGTGGTTTGAATTTGAAAGAAAAACTTTTATTGTAAATAGCTTAAGCAAAATGACGACATTTCGAATGGTATAAACGAAGCAACGGGAAAAGTAAAAACGGAGAAGCGAAGTAAAACTAAAACGAACGCGAAGCTTTTAACGTAACATTCGAGAAAAGTTTCCGATACGGTACTGTTTACATTGAGCAGAACGTATCGCGATTCGGTCGCCGGATCAGCGGCAGACCTTTTTCCACTTATTCGATTTTCAAGCCAAGCGATCGATCAGCACGACGAGACAATGCACGTGAGATTTTATCGCCGTAGGTGATTTCAACGATGTCCGTATTTCCACGAGAGATTTTCTCAGAAAGGAAAATCCACTTTGCGATAAGTGTATGAAAAGTAATCAAAGGGAAGAGAGTTCGTTTCTAGTAATCGAGATACGAGACTTTACGAGATGAGTTAAATGGTATAAGCTCGTTAACCTGTTGAAGGACGAATTATTATTCTTTCAGAATTTTTATTTAAAATATATGTATGAATATTAAAACAGATTCCAAATATATATTTGTATAATTATTGCGCAATAATTTTATCTTGCATTTCAGAAAAACAAAATTTTATTACTTTTTCTGTGCCATTAATATTAAAATAAATAAATTAAATTGTTTCTCTATAAATATATTTTTGCTATTATTAAAGTTTAATTCTTTAATTCTTTTATTTGAAAGATAAAAGACACGAAGAATTTTAAACATCTTAAAAAAATGAACTAATTAAGTTAAATTAGTTAGTTAAATTAAGATGAATTAAATGTATACGTGCATTGTGTATAATAATAATTAAAAAAACTAAATAACGTTTTCAATTTTCTATGTACTTAAGAAACAACTTATTAATTTACAATTATTAAAATTAAGAGAAAGAAATTAATTACTTTTTTCAATGATCGAGCGTTTCCTTTTCAACTTTGCTACCTTTTTAAATATTTAGCGCGTTTCCAACTCCTCTTTTAGCCGATTACGTTTGATTCAAAGCTCGTTTACGCAGAGTGCATTTCTTATCCTTAAGAGGGAAAGAAATTTACGAAGTGGTGATAATGCTTTTCCTTTGGGTGGAGGGGGGAAGTCAGAATGGTGGATGCAGAGGGTGGGGCGAATGGTATGGGGAACCACGTTTTCCAGAGAGGGTAAGACGGGGCTAGCGGTGGTGGCAGTGATGGTGGTGGTAGTCTAACATTTGCAGGGGAATATGAAAGGGGTTTTGCAAGGAAAGGCGGGGTAACAAGATGGCCGCGACCACCGACGTAGGGGAAGTAAGACATTTATCCATAAACAAGACTGTGCTAGCTTTTGCTTCCACTACGCTGGAAAAGTAACTAACAAACATCGCTTAAGGGCTTATGTCATATTTCTTACTAATGTTGAAGTGTATTTCACGAGTTATATTTAATTTCCAAGAATTCGTTACTTGTATACTGTAAAATTTGTTATTTCAAGTTAATGGATTAATCACGTATCATTAGAGTTAAGAATTTTTAAGAAGATAAAGAAGAGAAT